GCCCACATAACACCTGGCTGTGAAAAACACCAGAGCAGAGGTTCTGTCTGTCAGGGAGAGGTGCTGGGAATACGGGAAACTGCCTGAAGGGCCAGCACACTAAATTTCAGCTACAGCCACTCACCTTGGGCTCCTGCAGAGAGAAGGCAGACTGGACTGGAGCTATGTGAGGAGAGTTGGGGGTTTGCGGCACTAGGGAGAGAGCTGGGAAGGAGGCCATCAGGAGTCCTATGCTGAGTCATTCCCCCACACTATAGAAAACATTTTTCTCAGGCAGTCTTTTTCCATCAAAGTGGTTTTAGCCTGGATAGGGAGGAAGCAACTGCCCCACCCATTAAAATTTAACCCTGCCCAGCAACCTGAGGCTCATTAATTGTCAGAGACTACTAGCCAGCCAGTAGGCAGAGACGAGTCTCTGAATGCTTTGAACCTTGGGCCTGGCTCTAGGTTGTTGTTTTGTGGTTCTGGGGACTAAGCTGTGAAGGTAGCTGACTAAGCTCCTGTGCTGAGCCATTAACCTATGTTGCAGAAACCCTTTTTCTCAGGCAGAGTTTTCCCATCAAAGCAGCTATAGCCCAGGGTGGGGGAAGCAAATACCCTATCCACTGGACTTTAACCCTGTCCAGCACCAGCTGGAAGGAGTCAGTGCCTAGCTCAGAACTGCAACCTGAGCTTCATTAACTGTCAGAGACTACCAGCCAGCCTGCAGGCAGAGACAAGGCTCTGGGTGCTTTGAGCCTTGGGCCCAGCTTGTGGTTACTGGGTTTTTAGGTTTTGGGGTCCAAGCTGTGAAGGCAGCTGCCTGCGCCCCTGTGTTGAGTCATTAACCTACACTACAGAAACCATTTTTTTTTCAGGCAGAGTTTTCCTCTCAAAGCATCTTTAGCCCAGGGGCAAACAACTGCCTCATCTGCTGGAAATCCTGTCACCATGCCCTCTGTGGGAGAGCTTACATCCAGCTGAAGACTACAATCTGAGGCTCATTAAGTGACTGACACTAATAATCAGCCTGCAGGCAGAGGTGGATCACTGGGATATTTGAATCTTTGCCTGGTCTGTGACTCTACCCAGGACAGTAAAACCAGACATTGTTGTTCAGCTTTGTCCTTTCCATAAATATCCAAACCCAGCACACCGAGCCACAACCTTCAGAACACTGATATTTACAGGGAGATTTTGGCAGGCTCCAAACTTGGCTGAGACAGCCAAAATGATGAAACAAAGAAACAAATCCCAAATGAGAGAAAAATATAATTCTCTAGAAGAAGGGCTAAATGAAATGGAGATAAGCAAGTTATCAGAGATAGAGTTCAGAGTAATGATTATGAGGACACTCAACAGCATGAGAAAAGATATAGAAATGATGAAATCAACCAATCAGAAATAAAAAATGACACAGCAGAAATAAAGAACACATTGGCATGTAGCTTGGTTGCGGTTCGTCCCTGGCCCTGGTCAGGGTCATGCGAGAGGCAATCAGTCGATGTATCCCTCTCACATCGATGTTTCTCTCTCTCTCTCCCCCTCCCACTCTATCTGAAGCAGATTAAAGGGAGCCGAGGATTGGACCAGTGAATTAGAATACAGGGTAGAAAAAAAAAATCACTCAGAGAACCAAAAAGAAAAAAAAACAACAACTGAAAAACAGGAGGACAGTTTAAGAGCTGTGGGACAACATGAAGCATAACAACATCTGCATCATAGGAGTACCAGAAGAAGAAAGTGAAAATCTGTTTAGAGAATCTATTTGAAGAAATAGTGGCAGAAAACTTCCCTAACTTGGTGAAGGAAGAAGGCATACAAATTCAGGAAGCACAGAGTCCCAAGCAAGAAAAACCCAGAGGCCCATGCTGAGACACATCATAATTAAAATGCCAAAAATTAAAGACAAAGAGAGAATCTTAAAGGCAGCAAGAGAAAAGCAACAGGTTACCTATGAAGGAACTCCCATAAGACTGTCAGCTGATTTCTCAACAGAAACACTACAGGCTAGAATGGAATGACATGAAGTATTCAAGGTAATGGTAAACAAGGATTTGGCCCTGGCTGGTTTGGCTCAGCGGTAGAACGTTGGCCCTTGGGCTAATGAGTCAAGGTTTGATTCTGGCCAAGGGCATGTACCTCAGTTGTGGTTCATCCCTGGCCCTGGTCGGGGTCATGCAGGAGGCAACTAGTTGATGTGTCCCTCTCACATAGATGTGTCTCTCTCTCTCTCTCTCTCTCTCTCTCTCTCTCTCTCTCTCTCCCCCCTCCCACTCTATCTGAAGATAAATAGAAAAATATCCTCAGGTGAGGATTAAAAAACAACAACAACAAGAAAAACAAGGATCTGAATCTAAGACTACTCTATCTAGCAAGGCTATCATTCAAAATAGAAGGTGATATAAAGAGCTTCCCAGACACAAAAAGGCTAAGGGAATATATTACCACCAAACCAGCATTGCAAGAAATGTTAAAGGGACTACTGTAATAAGCAGAAGAAATAGAGAAACATAGGCATAATAAATAAAAATGTCAATAAATAAGTACATATCAATAATAACCTTAAATATAAATGGATTAAAAGCCAACCAAAAGACATTGAGTAACTGAATAGATAAGAAAGTATGACCCATGTATATGTTGTCTACAAGAGACCCACCTCAGAACAAAAGACTCACACAGGTTGAAAGTGAAGGGATGAAAAAAAATCTTTCAAGCAAACAGAAAGCAAAAAAAAAAAAAAAAAAAAAAAAGCTGGGGTAGCAATACTTATATCTGATAAAATAGACTTCAAAATGAAGGCCATAACAAGAGACAAAGAAGGCCACTACATAATATTAAAAGGATTGATCCAACAAGAAGATATAACCTTGGTAAACATATACACACCCAATATAGGAGCACCAAAATATATTTAAAAACTTCTGGAAGACTTCAAGGGAGAAATTGATAGCAATACTATCATAGCAGGGGACGACTTCAACACCCCACTGACATTACTGGATAAATCCTCTAGACAGAATGTTACACAGGTGAATGCAAACAGATGCAGAAAGAACCTGGTTTCTTGTAATTTACTGGAGAGTGCTGCTACCATATGGAATCAAGTAAAATATTCTCAAGGACTATACTTGAGTTCAGCCTTTCATGTTGGAGAGTTAGGGTGAAAATGGTTATAGTTTGTTTCTAGGTGGTCACTTTGAGGAAAAATTTTATTTTAATGATTATGTTTCTTTTTTTTTCAATCCTCACCAGGAGACATTTTTCTGTTTATCTTCAGATAAAGTATAAGGGAGGGAGAGAGAGAAATTGAGAGGGACACATCATCTGGTTGCCTCTCGCACAACCCCAACCGAGGCCAGGGATGAATTGCAACCGAGGTATGTGCCCTTGGCTGGAATCGAACCTGCAACTCAATGGTCCATGGGCTGACACTCTAACCACTGAGCAAACTGGCCAGGGCCTGAGTAAATGTTTTTAAACAATGTATCACACAGTACAATGTATGTTAAAACTCACGGTAACTGATATGATATATTTATTATACTGTTACTGTTATTTAAAAAATATCACCTCATAGTAGTAATAAGAACATAGTCAGATTTTTTCCCAAAGGGCAGTCATCTGGATTTTCTACTTTCCATATATATTCCACATATACTGATGTGTCTAACGTTTTTAAAATGTTATATTTAACATAAATTTCCATCTGCAATCATGCTTTTGAGTTGCAGTTAAGTAGACAACTTATGAAACTTTTTCTACAGAAAGGCATCTCATCTATTTTGAGTTCTGTTTAACCATTTATTTAGCTTTATAATAATTGGCTAAATACAGGTGCCATCCCATTTATACAGTAGAAATGAATGAAGAAAAGTATGAGTTCTGCATTGTAAAAAGATGTAATTCTTCCAATATATCATCTACGTTCAGAGGGTTCTTTATTAGTGAAAACTGTCTCCAATTTGAGCTCTCTGTGGTTTAAGTAATATAAACAGTTCTACTGACTTAAGAATTGTCCTGTCAGGAAGCAAATTCCTTGTCTGATGACTGCAGTCTTTGAAGAGCCACCTCAAAAATAGCATCTTTACAACTGTGACACAAAGCAAACAAAAGGATCTTAATGTATTTGGTATTACTTTGTATTGTAGTTTTTTTCTTAGAGATAGTTTATTGATTTTTAGAGAGAGAGGAAGGGATAAGAGAGAAACATCGATGTGAGAGCTAACATTGATCAACTGCCTTCTGCAAGCCCCTTACCAGGGACTGAGTCGGAAGCCTGGGCATGTGCCCTTGACCAGGGATCAACTGGTGACCCCTCAGTGCACTGGAAATGCCCAAGCAACTGAGCCACACCAGCTAGGGCTGTATTGTAATTTTAACAGTCTGATACTATATGGATAAACATGCATTTGATGAAGATGGCTGTTTTATGAGGATTGTTAAAAATTTCTTCTTCTTTTTTTTTAAAGGTGAAGGGAAAGCCCTGGCTGGTTTTGCTCAGTGGTTAGAGTGTCAGCCATGGAACAAAGAGTCTCAGGTTGGATTCTAGTCAAGGGCACGTACCTTGGTTGTGGTTTGGTCGGGTTTGTGTGGGAGGCAACCACTGACGTGTCTCTCTTGCATGGATGTTTGTCTCTCTCTCCCCCTCCTCCTTTCCCTCCCTCCCACTCTATCTGAAGATGAATGGAAAAATATCCTTGGGTGAGGATTATAAAAAAAAGGTGAAGGGGAAAAAGAGGTACAAACTTCTAGTTATAAAATAAATAAGACACGGGGACATAGTGTATAGCACAGGGAATATGTCAATTATATCATAATAACTTTGTACAGTAACAGATGGTTGTTAGACTTATTGGGGTGATCACATTGTAAGGTATAGAAATGTCGAATCACTATGATGTATACCTGAAACTAATATAATATTGAATGCCAACTATACTTTAATAAAAAATTTAAAAATATTAAAAACTTATTTTAAAAGTAAGGTTTTAGTTCTGTGGAAGTTTGTTACTTACCATGAAATGAGGTTGTGTTAAAATACGCTTTAGTTCCTTTGCATCATTATTGTCAGGGTAACATGAAATTTCTTCCAATACCTAAAAAATAAAAAATAAGCAAGATATATAACAGTGCGAACAGGATGTAAAATTTAAAAAACATAGAAGTCTTTTAAATTAAAAAAATATGAATGAATTTTTATGGCAGACAAAACAATTATTTTGGAAAAAATTCATCATTTTATGCAAAGGTTATTAATATATAAATAGAACCATATTGATGAAAATGAAAATTTAAAAATTGCTATGATAGTCCTTGCCTACATTATCCAACTATAACCCAAAAGGTTATTGAAAAATACAAAATGACAAGTCCGTAACACATATTTATTACAAGTGTAAGTAACTTAATTAACTTAATGGTAAAATATCTCTGCAAACTTTTTTTCCAAACTTTCCATCAAAATGATTCTGTAATAAGAGTTTATAACAGCTTTCTTTTATATTAACGAAACTGTTAATTCCTTTTAGAATGATTAAAATGACATAGGCTCAAATAATAACAATTTAAAGAAGAAAACCACAAGTAATTTTCTTTGCAGCCTGGCAGAATCAAAATTATTCTCCACATTCATCTCCCACATAGACACAACCTCTCCTCTGCCAATGGTTCCCAGGATTAACTGCCAGGGAATCCAAGGTAATAATCATCATCACCATCATCATTATCATCATCATCATCATCCCCACATACTCCTTTTTCTTCACTAATTAGTTGTTAACATTTTCTCTGTACAGGTAAAAATGATTGTTTTCCAACGAAATTGTTTTTTCAAAAGCTCTCTCTTACCACCAAGATGGAGTTTACCCGTTTAAAATTTGACTGTGACATGAGCCCAGGGAAAAGCCTCTGTTGTCCTTCAGAGTAAACATACTGCTATGATTCTTAACTGTAGATGGTTGGATTCACAGGGCAGTTATACAAATTGCATTCAATTCCAGAAGTTGAGTCAATCAAGGATTGCTTCAGCAGGACTAGATGCGAGGGGCACTAAAGTCATCCATTCTGTAGAAACCTCTTACTTTACCTAGGAAAATCTTAATACCATGGCAGAAAGGGATGTTGTGAAGTCACTTAGCCTAAAGCTTAGATTACAGCAGCATACCTAAGTGCTACTCAACCACCTCAGATAACAATGAGTCAAACAGAAACTACAGGTTTTTTTTTTTTTTTTTAATCTAAATGCATGCTTAACACGTTATTGGTTATGCTGGGAATTAATTTTGCTAAATGATGATAAGTCTATTATCCTTGCTGTATTTTATGCTTTGAGTTTCTCTACCGGAAAATGAAAGGATGAAACCTTATACTTACTCCCCCTGGTCCCCAGCTACCCTCACAATCCATGATTTTAAACACCGAGGTGGTCTCCTAAGTTAGAAAGGACCTCTCCTGGCTGGTGCCCTGACTATGACGTGGGCAGGCCTTATAGCCTCTGCATCCTAGGTCTTGTTTCTCAATGAATATATGATATTTTCCAGTACAGGTCTTGTGTTTAAAATCTTGAAGGGAAGGAATTATGTCTTTCATATTCTTTCACTTAGTAATCTCACTTCATAAGAAACAGATTTTTTCAAAAGGAAATGCTTTTTTGCATAAAGACTTTTATAACATCAAAACGTGAAGAAAAATCCCACTAGGTGTCTAACAATGGAGGAATTGCTAATTCATTATAATTTAGTAATAACAAAGAAAAATTATGCCGACATCAGAACTTAGATTTATAAAGACCAAGTAGATACACAGAAAAATGCTCATTGTATAATGTTAGGGAAAAAAGGATACGTTTTGATCGCATATAAAAAATTTTATGCAAATGGATGGTGATGGAAAAGGATACGCAAATAAAAATTACTGTATTAGGGTGATGGAATCGTGTACGGATCTTTATTTTCCAAACTTTCTATAGTGTCACGTTCTATATTTAAAAAGTTTACAAAGTCTGTGACAGACATACATTAACCAACAATTTACATAAATGGTTTATCTCTGAACTTAGATGTTATAGATATTTAACTTTCAAACATTACCACCTTAAAAGAGCAACTCAAGTTTTCAGAGCATGTCTGTTTCCACCAAATACCTTTTTATTATTTTTAAAAAAGAGAGAGAAGCAAAATTGATATGTTAACGTGTTCAAGTTTACATAGCAAGACCAGAGCTGGAAATCTAGACAATGTTGCTCTGAGATATTTTTTCTTTTCTGTATACAGATGCTCAGTGATAAACATAGAAATACTAAATCTGAGTACAATGGTCCAACAGTGACTCCAAAGAAACTGTTTCTTCCTGTACGGAAATGTTTTCAATAAAGGTAGCAAATATGAACCCAGATACATTTACAAAATATGTCACTTACCTCTTTGGCTCTCTGTACTGCATCACTTGGAGGATTCCTGATTTGTGGCGACGACTTTGTGTTAATTTTGTCATACAGCTAAAACCAAAGGAGAAAATCCAATCAACATTCATCATTCTTTGCCAAAATTCAGAGCATCATATTTATGATTTTACTAAACAGTATTTTCCTCTTAAAAAGGCAAGCTGAAGACTTCAGTGGGATCTTCTTGTTAATCATCTTTTGTTCATTCAAGGAAACTTGTCAGAATATGAGTTGTATGCATATCTTTTTTTTTTTTTTTTTTTAAATCTTTAAAGAGATGGCCCACTATTCTGGTAATGTGGTGATTGCCTTGTCATTTTAAATTCATCAACATTTCAGTAATCACAGTGTTTTTTCCTCTAATAGAAGCAACATTTAATAAGATGAATACAGAGTAAAATGAAAGAACGATTTCTGGCCAAGACACGACTGAAAGAATGTTCACAGAAATCTAAATCTTGGGAAAGGGCAAACCCAACTCCTTCAAGAAAGGAATGTTCTCACAAAAGGTTTATGCTTATTTTTCTAGGGTTGTTCATTAACAGTATCAGTGCTGGCATCCTTAAACAGGAAATCAAGGACATAAATTTTTTTTTCCTTTGAATTTGAAATTCACAGAGCATGAAAAGACAGACATGGAAAGAATATAAATATATTTAACAAGCCCACAAATCAAAATGATCCCCAAATTTAACTTTCTTAAGGAAATTACTTCGGTAGAGGAAAATCTCTATAGTGTAGAAATGCAACTGAAATATTAATTTCTATCTCAGATGAAATGTCTCATTCAACTGTCTGCTTCGAAAATGATCTTGGTTAAAAATGATCTTGGCTGGTCTGCCACTTCTATTTCTTAACTTCTTTAAAATACATAGAGATTCTTTCGGGGGTTGGTTTCATCCTTTTTAAACTCCCCTACTATGGCACAACCATGCTAGTTGAGAGGACAACCTGCCCCCCACAATATAAGAAACCATAAGTTAACACATTTACAATATATAACACTTAAAAATTAGACATAGTCATCACCTGACATGTCATAATATTGATAATCAAACAAAATAAAACTACATAAATAATTAAAAGATTTTTTAATACTCTTGAATGCTACTGTTTGAAAAAATTGAGGCTTTACAAGTTGACAGCACTATCACTTTATGCCTAATTTCACCACAAAAAGTTTTATCTTTTTCTTGACCAAGGGATATTACTAGCATTACATTCAAAATTTTCAACTATGATTAATATTAGTTTCTATTTATACATTTAATAAATGCATATTAGTTTTTACTCACAAAGCAACAAAAATCCCACAGCTCCAAGAACTGCTCTCACTTTGTCACTGGAGACATTTTATTTTTGGCTTGGTCTTACTATGCCAAGTACGGTTCCCTAGGTCAGAGTGATTTCTTGAGGACTCAGCATAATCATCTGGAGTGGTTATTAAACATGCAAATTCCTGCCCTGGCCAGTTTGGCTCAGCGGTTGGAGCGTCGGCCTGTGGTCCGGAGAGACCCGGGTTCGGTTCCCGCTAAGGGCATGTACTTCGGTTGCAGTTTGTCCCCGGCCCTGGATGGTCGTGTGGGTGGCAGCCACTTGATGTGTCCCTTCACGTCGATGTTTCTCTCTCTCTCTCCCTTCCTCTCTCTCCCTCCCATTCTATCTGTACAAAAATGGAAAAATATCCTCGGGTGAGGATAAAAAAAAAGAAAAAAAAACATGCAAATTCCTAGGCCTCACTTCAGACCTACTGAATCGGAATTGGAAAAGGAGGTCTAGAAGTCTGTGCTTCAATAAACTTCTTAGGTATTTGTCAATCTTATGCCCGGTGTTAAGTTCAGAGAGTAAGAGCAATAGTGCTAATAACAGCAACGGCCATTGCTACTTTAATTGAACACTTATTAAATGCTAGTTACTAGTTAAGTTCTATTATATATTCCTCATGTAACCTAAAATAACCCTCTAAGGTTGATACCCCTGCTTTTCCCACTTTACAGATGAGGAAACTGAGGCATGGAGCAGTAAAGTGGGAACCACTCTTCTAGCGTTTTAACAACTTCACAGGTTGCAGATGCCTGAAGTTCCAATATTTTTAAGGCTCTGCTCCAAGGAAAGTGCTGAGATCAAAATTTCTTCTGCTCCTTTGGTCGGGCCTGATCCAATTCATCACACATTCACCCAAAGTTCAGTTGAACTAGTGGTGGGATGAGGGGGAGGTGGGATGCTTAGTATCAAAGGCAGATACAGTAGGAAGGAATTAAAAAAAAAAGGCTTTCTGTCTGAGGTAGGGGCACTGGGCTCTGCTCCTCCATCTCCTAGGAGAGCACAGGACTGGAGATCTGAAGGCAGGCACTCGATAGAGTAGACAGTGTCCATGTGGCTTAGATGGAGAATCTCAACTGCCTGCTCATTAACCAAAAAGGCAAGTAAGAACCAAGGCAAGAAGGTGTGGTGAAGGAGCTCACATCACCATTAGTGGGAAGAAGTTACCCTTTGTTGATTTGTCCATCCATCCATCCATCCATCCATCCATCCATCCATCCATCCATCCATTGATATTTATTAAGGTCCTATTATGCACTAGGCAGTGGGTCTCTATTTACTAGGGTTACGAAGATGAAAAAGATGAGAATTCCTGTCCTCAGAGGACTCACAAATTTCAAAGACATGTATAATGAATGGCCCAGAAACATGTGACAGCTTGCTTCCTCTGAGGACCTGAGACGAGTTTCGTCTCCAACAATATCAACTGGAAGGGAGTTGGGAACCGGCTGGATAAACTATCTGGTTGGCATGACATACCAACCCTTATTTCCCCCCTCAATTTCTGTGACTGTATTTTTGCCTTAGGGACTCAAAATATTTTAGGGATACCCATAACAAATACAAAGCATTTGAGAAATGTGCAAAAGTAAATAAACAAATCACCAAAGGAGGCAATTTTTAATGCAATGTAACATTAAAGTGTTTAAAACAGTGGTGAGAAATATGCAACTTTTCAACTTCTCATCCTTACGGGTCATGTTCTTATTCTCTGCTGCCTACCAGATGAAATTCAGAACTCGAAGTTCAAATTCAGGTAGAGTTTTGCCAAGGTCTGGGGGCTAGTGAGAGGCAGTAGGGTTTGGAGAACAAAAGAAAGCTGCAGCTTCTCCTTCTCAGTACCCTTTATTCCCCCTGTGAGTCCATCACGTATAAAGAATACTCAGAATAATGTGATTTGGGACTTGCCTGTTTTAAACCTTCAGCTAAAGCCAAGAACTGAGGTCAACAGGAATTAAGTGGCACCAAGTGGGCTGGGAAACTGCCAGATCATCCCTCGGGGCCCTAGGGCTTGCTGAAAGGGGGCCAAAATGGTCCTTTCACACTCATCCCAGGACCTCATTCTGCCTACAGAGGCAGAAGCCCGGGATCTGTGGGAGTCACAGGATGAGGAAAGCAAGTATTTGATTTTCCCTTCTCCTTCTCGATGGCTAAGGAAGGAGAGGGAGTTGCCCACTTCCCCGGGCAAGTGAAGGATGGTGGATGCTCCAAAAGAACCATTCACCCAAACTGGAGGTGCCAGCAAGAAGAGCTCACTATCTCATGCTCTGGGGGAATGCTTGCTGAGTTGCAGCAACTTACAAGGCCTGTCTTGGTGTACTGGGAAGGAGCCTTGTGTGAGAGAGACTCCTTGGGACAGCTTACAATGTGGTGTCTGGGGTCCCAAAGGAAAAGAGAGTGTTGACTGGCTCTTTCCTGGATGGGGGCTGCCTTGGGGCAGCCCTTGCGGGTAGGGTTTGGCTGGGGCAAGAACATGTATTTCCCACGAATCAAGTTCCTGTCTCAAAAAGTAATCTGGTTTAAACCACTTTGGTGGAACCCTGCCCAAGAGAGCTGTCTGCATAGAACAAGAGGACCCAGAAACAAGTAGCTGTGGAGTAACACCTGGGGGGGGAGAAGCAACCCGAGACAGAGCCAACATTTGGATGCCTGCCATACCATGGGCATTAACAAGCAAGAGGGCAATGGATCTATGAGAGACAAGATTACAGAACATGTTGTTTAGGTGCCTTTTTCTTTTTTCTACCACCAGACTCTTGAATTCTTTGACATTTTGTAATAGCACCTAGCATGGGGCTGACTACACAGTAGATGTTTAATAACATGTTTCTTCACAAAATGAGCATTTGAGCTGGTGCACAGGAACTGTAAATAGATACTTTAAAAATTCAGAGTAACAAAAATAAACAGTGGGAGTATTTATCTCCTAGCTTGTTTCTTTAGGAACCAGATGTCATTTATCTTTAGTCCTGCTTGTGTAAACTATTTCCCTCAAAATTAAGAAATTATATTTTGACTACATTTAATTCTTCTTCTTCTTTTTTATATGTTTCAAATATAACTTACTTCTTAAAATGTTTCAAGGTAGGCCCTGGCCGGTTTGGCTCAGCGGTTAGAGCGTTGGCCTGCAGTCCAGAGAGACCCGGGTTCGGTTCCCGCTAAGGGCATGTACCTCGGTTGCAGTTTGTCCCCGGCCCTGGTTGGTCGTGCGAGTAGCAGCCACTTGATATGTCACTTTCACGTCAATGTTTCTCTCTCTCTCTCTCTCTCTCCCCCTCTCTCTCCCTCTCACTCTATCTGAACAAAAATGGAAAAATGTCCTTGGGAGAGGATAAAAAAAAAATGTTTCAAGGTAGAATAGATCTTAGATATTAACATGATTCAACTCTTCCATTTGAAGGAGAAAGCTGAGGTCCAGTGAGGTGAAGGGACAAGCTCAGGGTGAAGGGACTAACCCGTGGCCTCCTGAGGTGCTGTCCTTTCTCTCATACCAGACTTCCTTGGCTTATATTATAACTTAGTAATACAAAAAGTCTTGTGCTTTCAGGGCAACACCTTTAGCAAATATTTGGGGAAAGAATTATAGAAAATGCCACTGATAGGCCGTAGGGAAAAAATACACTAAATAAGATTTAAAAGATATTAGCCAACCAACTACAACCCTTGCTTTGTTAAAGAATGTCAGAATCCTAATCCTTTCTTGGCCAGATGGTAAATATTTCAGGCTTTGA